GGTTTTTATTTTTTTAGAAGGTGTGGCACTCAAATTATCTAATAATATCTAAACCCCTACATCTGAAATCCAGTCAGCCCTTAGTAGTGATTTTTGTTCCTGTCCGGGTTTTAAGCCTCAATAAAATCCCATTACAGTGCTCCAGGAATGCAATCTAGCGGAACAAATTATCTCCACATCCAATCATTTTAGTGTCTTTGCGGACTCTTGGGAAATGTTTTTTGATACACACTTAATTTTATTTGCATGAATGAAAAAAAAGGTAGTAGGCTCTGCTCGAGAATGGACGAATTTGGGGAATTCCGAAATGAGATGTAAAGCGTAGAGATAAACAAAACTACGGAACCCATGGATTGTCCACATTCTGTTTTACAATAAATAAAAAAAATAAATAAGCGGTTGTATCCAACACACCACTGTAGATTTGACGTAGTATTACGCCTTCGTGTCACTCGGGCTGTTATCGACAGTCGACTTTTCTACGGCCTCGAAATAACCTGCTTAGCCACCGAGAAGCTCAACCACATCCTCACTCAGGTATACAATACCTACGTACGCATCGTATCCGGCCTTCTCCCTTCCACGCCTGCAGAAGCCGCATGCGTGGAAATCGGAATCCTCTCTTTCCGCTATAGATCTGCTGCAGCCATTGCTACGAAAGCCGCTGCCCTCGCTGCTAAGACATCCGGGTCTTTCTCCTCAACGAGGGGAGCAGAGCCTTCCGCACTGCAGCCAACCGTGACCTCCCCCGGTGGCCAGGGTCCACTGGCAGCAGAGAAGAGTTGGCGATCAAACGTCGTCAAAATAGATAAGTGGATTAAGAGTGGATTCCAAGCCGGAGATAGCTCTGTAGCTTTGAGGCGTTCTGTTGCAGAGCTTCTCGGGTCGGTTTATCCGGGGCACGTTCATCGCTTTACGGACGGATCGCGGTCGCGAGCAGGAGTTGAACTCGGAGTGGCAGGACCAAACACTGCAACGAGGCAAAATTTACCGGAGGAGTGTTCCGTCTTTTCCGCTGAAGCCGCAGCTATTCTAGACGCAGCTATCACTCTGGCAGATCAACCGAACCTCGTGTTAACTGACTCACACAGCGTCATGCAAGCGCTGGAAGCCGAAGCCCCGAGCCACCCCTGGATACAAGCCATTACACGGTATGCCCCACCTTCAACCGTCTTTACGTGGATCCCCGGATACTGCGGTGCTCCCGCCTCGCTACACCAGGAACGTACCCCTCCTAGACGTCAGGCGTTGGATTGTGAATACTATTAAGGAAGCCTGGCAGCAGGAATGGTTCCAGTCGCAGACCATTTTCCTGAGGAAGATCAAGGAAGCCATACGATCCTGGCTGGACAGCGAAAAGTACAAGGACCAGCGGATCATCTCAAGACTCCGGACCGGCCATGCGAGGATTTCCTGTAATTTCGGTGGGACACCTTTCCGCAAGGTTTGTTTAATTTGCAGAACACGTGCTGTGTGTCTGCCCGGAGTTCCAGAAGCTACGCGAACAACACGGACTCCACTGATCGTATTTTCCTCACCTTTCTTTTTTTCTGCCGTCGGGGCTTCTCCGCCGGAAGGGGCACTGTCTCGTACGGTGGAGCTCTGCCTTGATCGCGCACCCAGTCCTCAGCACAGCCCTGATGTAATCCTCACTTTACATTAAGTTTTTAAAAATGTTGTCTGTCTCATTCGTTGGGTAATCAGAGCCAGTTATACGTCGCGTTAATGTCAAATTGAAATTTTTTTTAGGCAGGATCTAGCCTGACCATCTGCTATATAAAGTACTAAACTAGCGTACGACTAAAAATCACGGTAATAATGAGAAAAAAATAGATGGCTCACAGCGACTCACGAAGAGCTACTGAATCCGATCAGTAGTGGTGTGGCTTCTTCCTCCTTCTTCGGTGAATGGACGCTCATGTGGGCTGCAGCTCGCTGCTTGTGGGGAGCCTTTCGTTGTGTACTCGAGAACAATGTTCACCGCCACGCGCCGAAAGTACTGCTGCTGCTGCTGATGACGACCGGACATCACCCCTCTCCACCACACAGATTGAATATACACCCTTCGGCGAGACCGGATGGAATTCGATTTTGAAATCTGTGTTAGGGAGAGCGCTTTTTGCAGGTAATCGGTGATAATTGTGGTCACATTGCAACAGTTGGACATTTCTGTAATTTTCAATAGTGACCTGTTGAAAATTGATAAAGTGTTCAATTTAACAGATTTGTTGAGAAATTTCTAATCGATTGGCTTGTTAAGAATTAAAATCCTTCCACTTTTGACAGAGTTATAAGTGGTCAAAACCTGACCACTTTTTGTAACGCAGTCGATTTTGGTTTTTTGAACTTGCACCACCAATATGTTGCCGAAAGACGTAATCATATGTCAAAACTTAATACGTGCCAGGATTCAAAGAACACTTTGAAACTGGAAGTCCAATTGATAGAGGTAATACATACAGGCGCATCTTATTGTAAATGAAAGAAACCTCGGAATGGGAGCTATCACCTTCTAACTCCCGGAATAAAGCTGTCTACAATTACCATAAATACGACATTGGGAGAGAGAAAGTTCTTCCATAATAACACTGCCGTCCAGTGGGAGTTCGAGGGAATACACTCATACACACACACAAACACACACACAAACACACACACGCGCGCGCGCATTACGATTGAAGCAGACAGAAAGGAGCGCAGGGTGGTGTACCGAACGGCCAGGTCTTCACTAAAACGAAAGATAACGCTGACCAAGTCAAACAGTTTCAAGGAGCTGTGCCGCGATGCCGATGCCAACGTTCCCGGACATGTTCAGGATGGTGCTGCAGAAATGTCTGGACGAGCGTCAGTTCCCTGATAGGTGGAAGGTACAAAAGCTTCTGCTGTTGCCAAAGTTTGGAAAACCACCTGGGAATCCTGCATCGTATAAGCCAATATGCTTTCTGAATACTGTCGGAAAGCTCTTGGAGAGGATTATCCTGAACAGGCTGACGAAATGCACGGAGAGTGAACACGGATTGTCGGAGAGGCAGTTCGGATTCCGTAAAGGGAGTTCGACGGTGGATGCAATTCGGACAGTGAGCCGAGAAAGCTTCCAAACAGAAGCGGAGAGGAAATCGATACTGCGCCATGATTACGATTGATGTGAAGAATGCATTCAATAGCGCCAGCTGAGAGGCAATCGCCAAGGCGCTCCATATAAGCTGTGGAACGGAATGTACAATGGCGTGCTGACGCTCAAGCTGCCCAAAGGAGTTGAGATCGTTGGCTTTGCGGACGATGTCGTCTTGACGGTAACCGGTGAGACGCTGGAAGAGGTGGAAATGCTGGCAGCCGAGGCGATCGATACGATTGGTAACTGGATGCAAGGAGCGAAACTGCAGATATACCCTTACTAAATAGTGCAGTGGGCAGAGATCACCGTTGGAGAGCACACCATTGTTTCGAAGCGCGTGCTGAAGTATCTAGGAGTGATGATCGACGACTGGCTAAAATTTAACAGCCACATCGAATATGCGTGCGAGAACCCTGGTACAAGCAGCAGCAAGAGGCGTCTTCTAGCTAGTGTGGTCTCATCGATACTAAGGTACGGAGGTCCAGCCTGGATTGAAGCGCTGAAAACGAAGCAGAACCACATGAAATTGAGCAGTACGTTCCGGCTCATGGCTATGCGAGTCAGCATCACCTTGGCGAAGGACTACGAGTGCTATATGACGAGAGAAACCAGAAGAGTACGAAAAATGGTGAGAACGGTGTCGATGGCTAAGTGGTAGCAGGAGTGGGATGCAGCAGAGAACGGTAGATGGACACACAGGCTAATACCGATTCTTTCGACCTTTTCCTGGGTGAACAGGAAGCATGAGAAGTCAACTTCCACTTGACGCAGTTCCTGTCTGGTCATGACTGCTTCAGGAAGTACCTGCATCGGTTCGGACACACAACGTTACCCTTCTGTCGGGAGTGTGGGAATGTGGAAGAATCACCACAGCACGTGGCCTTCGAATGTCCTAGATTTGATGCTGTGCGAGAGGATATACTCGCCCTTAGCGCGGAGAATGTCGTCGAAGACATGTGTCGAGAGCCACCCTAATGACAAAAAAGAATACCACTATCCACCACCACCATGGACCATCTTTTTTTTCCAGTGTGCCGCAGGTGTGCCGGTTGTGCCGGTCATAGAGCTAGCTGCGATTGTTTGTAAAATACCCAACCCAGCAACCCGGTATTTCTTATTTCTGGCACCTTAAATGTGTTGGTTTGAAATCGCTAAGATAAATCGGTCTAGCGGCATTTTGGATTTAAATCCATAAGTGAACCGAGAAGTGAACTGCTGGTCTGTTATGTTATGTTTAATTAGAGGTTGTTACTGAATATACAGCCGAACAGCACGTAATGTTGAACAACTTCAGTGACCAGCAGTGCACCCATTCTATTTACAACAATCAAATGCCTACGAGATTGTGCCGAAGGTGAGTCGATGGATGTGCCCAAGCTGTGCCGAATCTAATTGCGGCAATGTGCTGTGAGTGACTTACACCTTGATTTTTAAACAGTCTGCGTGGCTTTTTTTTTGCCAAAGATGGTGTATAAATAAATAAATGAAAAAAGCCAAAATTGTCATGCACATAAGGGTTAATCGTATTGCATGCTTGCTTAAGTTGGAATTCAAGGGTCAATCGAAAAAAATCTCACTGCAAAGATTTTGTTACAGATAACCTCAAAATTATCTCAAATCGGACAGATATAGATAATTTGAAATCTGATACGATAGAGATATATCTATATTGAAGGTGAATTAAATCGCGATAACGATAACCTTATCTTTTGCACAGCCTTGATTAGTACCTATGGCGTAAATTTTCACATAATGTAGACAAAATTACGCCCATAAGAAATTTTCCCGCTGTTGAATAAAAGTTTAGTTCTAATCTTAATTGATTGATGAGAGGAAAAACAACGTAATAAGATATAAACTAATCTCTTATTCTCTATACTTCCAGGCTCGTGAACAATTTGATTCCGGAATATTCCAAGGATATCAATCCTTGGAAAGGTAAGTGATCAATCCTATTACCAATGTGATTCAGTTTCCACATGCAAACTCTAGACGCGGCAGAAGGAAATTCTCTAAACGCTGGGTATTTACGCATGTGACAGTCGGACAGCCCACACAAGCGCAAACATATCCACCATCCACGAGCCAACAGATTCATTGGCTATGTTGACATTTGCTTTGTTTAGCTTCTCGTCCATCGGTAAAAGGTGGACAAAAGAAACTTTGACTGGCACGAGACTTGTTGTTTGACAAATATTGATCTGTTTGAGAGTAAATCGCAGTATCAATGACTAACCATCGAAACGTGACGTATGTAAAATTATGCCTGAAGTTTTTAGAAATTGATCAAGTTGCATCATAAACAACTATGATTGACCCTCAACGGAAGATGCACCGTTTCCGCTTGGGTGATTTACTTCTAAAATAATCAAAATACAGAGTCACTTGCAGCACCCCCTCGCTGTCGCTGATTGTGGAGAAAACTTTCATTTACCATCCAAAACACGTTCCTCCATTTCGAGTCGTTTGAATATCATTCCTCCTTACCTGCCTACAGTGAATTAGATTTGGGTTCACGCATTACTGTTTCAGGCCCTCCCCCTATTCAAATCAATCAAGGGATTGGAAATTGATGGGAAGGTGTCATCGCGTTTGCTTGTTTATTTTATTGCTCGTGCACCTCACTTCTAATGCACGCTGCTTGTAGGTATTCACCTAGTACCCATGTGGAAATAAATCCGTTTCATTTCGGGTGGCATACTAACGAGCCGGACGTGTCCACCCGATCGCAGCAGGCGATTTCGAATTTATTGAAATTGACAGTTGGAAGAATGTGCGTTCATTGTTTTGATTACAGTTGAACGCAGTAAATTCGGTTCACAGTTGCCATTTGCCATCCGGTCAATCCCTTAACCTATGCGAAGGTTAGCTTGCTTTCAAGATCAAACCCTAGTCGCAATACTTAACAATTGCATTCAGGGTTCCATCAATTGGTGGAGCGCTTCCTGCTTCGGTGCACTAAGCAGCAGCAGATGTAAAACTACTTTCAAAAATAATCCAAACTTGTTTTGTTTGTTGTTCTGTGGACACCGGTATGGAACCTCCTCGGCACAGTAGGCTTGCTGCACTTCACCATGGCAACGAACGACCGAGACCGAGATTGGTTGCAACAAGGAGACGTCAGATGACGTAGTTAACTCACTGCAGACCGGACATTCCGGGTTTGATCCCTTTCACTTCACCGTTGTCAGCGCTCGCGCGCATGTGTGTGTGTGTGTGCGGGTTGAAGGACTGAACGCGTTACATTTTTATTTATCAAAATATCAAGCCGAACAATGGATTAGGTCCTAAGCAACATTGTCAGACTCACTTCACGGCGATAAAAGCTATTTTTACGGGTTTAAACGGTGTTATAGCCCAGTTATTAGCGAAAGAGAAACTTGATGAAGAGAATCGACCAATGTTACATAGTACCTAATCCATTGTTCGGCTTAATGTGTCACAAAAACAGTCGCACTAGCAATGACACTGTGAAGGATTTTCCTTGATCGCTCTTTTTTGCTGTTGTTGGAACTTCGCCGAGCCCGATTACATAAGTCTGTATTTCTCGGGTGCAAAAAAACAAAAATGGATAAGAAGAGCAAATATATCTTGCAAAATGGCAAGAGCTATCGCTTTTTTGTACCTTTTCCTGGTATTATAATACGAGGTACGAAATGCTTCGTACGGCACATCCGGGAAGAACGATAAATTTCCGATTTTCCTACGCTGGATCCAATCCTGTTTGCTCGGTGCAAAAAAAAAAACTTTTTATCTCCTACTCCAGGCAGAGTGGTGATGCTTTTGGCAATCTCCTTTCTTTTCTACTACGTGGATTTCAGCATTGGGAAATTATTTCTTCATTGATTCCAAACATATGAAAATATCCATTTTCTGCACGACAATCTTAATCCACCATTGAAAATTGACGTGTGAATGACAAAACGATAAAAAAAAACGAAGAACTGTATCGCAATTGAGATAAAGCTGGCAAGAAAATGACAGATGGAAATGTCGGAAGACTGAATATGTTTCCACCGAGAGTCAAACCAATTGATCCCAATCTGCAGATTGTTCCTGGCTGATTGAATTCAGATTGAATTTCTTCATTAAACTCGTCCATGCCATGGATCAAACACAAAACAAACAAAGTGCCAATTAGAGATCCCATCGGAACCAATCCAATCGTCTGACAAGTAGGCGACTAATCGCTGTCACTACTATTCATGGCACGCGCCGCCTACTGCCGGCGACCATTATTTCGCTAATCGTTGCTTTGAGCTTTTCCCGCTCGATTCGGCTATGATGGCCACTTACTGCCATATGGGACACAAAGGTAATGCGTTTTGATTGCTCTATGTAGGGATTTTCACTAGCGAGCTTAGGTTTCTCGGTCGTAACTGGGTGACTGCACCTATCAAGGTTACTACGAAGGAGGAAGTTTGTATTGACTTTTGTAATTTGCATAACAAACAGCCACGATTTGGGTGGGTAAAGTTTTCGTGTCGGCGGAAATGTCCTAGGGGGTTGGAAATTTTCGATTGTTTTGTCTTGCCCCTCCAAAATCAGCATCCCGCCTTGGATAATATGTTCCAAAAATTAGGACTGCAGTCAGTTTAACAAAGGGTAAATCACTAACTCAGCCCAACAAAGCGTAAATCATTAATTCGGTATAAGCACCCATTTCCGTCATATCGAGCGGAAACATCAAATATGTCAATAATTTCGACGTGAACCAATCAATCGTTTGAAAAAAAACAGCGATATTTAACGCACACATAATTAACATGTATGAACTTCTTCGATTTACATGAAATTTTGCATAATTGAGTGTCATGGGAAATACTTGACATTTTAGTTAAAATTCAATTTTGGATCTTGTAAAATTTTCAAAATGGTGTCATTGAATTTTTTCAAAAAATTGTAGCACGGAAACGGCACTTCTGATCAAAATAACGTATGAGACAGTAGAGAAATGTAATTTTTTGGGGAAAAATGTTAAATTTAGAAACTCGTTATTCGATAACGCGATATTTTCAATAACTCGATGGTTCTGCGGTCCCTTATATCTCCCATACATCGTAAAGGGTGTCCACTGTTAAATTGCATCACTTTCAAAAAGCTGTAACATTTTTCTCTTCGGGTTAATTTTAATGAAATTTTGGGTAGGATGGCCTCAGCGTGTATTGTTTACACTGCGTAACAGCGTTGCCAGAATGTTTTAAAGCTTATCGGTATCAAAGATTTTAAAAAAAATCGGTATTTATCGGTATTCACTATTTTAATTAATTTTAAAGTTTTGCCGTTTTTGAAGGCGATGTTTTTTATCTTTTGGACTATGATTGGAAAATTCCGGAAGAAAACTCCGGGGAATGTTTGAATTAGCTTCTGGAAGAAGCTGAAAACAACATCCAAAGAAAGGAGAAAGAAGCTCTCCTGGAGGAAATTTGAGGAAAATTCTGAGAGAAGTCGGAAAATCATCTGCGAAACTTCCAAGATATAAATTGAGAAACTTCTGACAAAAAATTAAAGAAACATTCAGAAAAATTGGGATTTCACAGTCAAAGGAAGGTAGAAAAGTTTCGGAAATCGGAAATAAATTCCAGAAGTAGCCATTTACAGGGGAAGCCAGAATGAGCTCGGAAAAACCTTCCAATAGAAGTAAAAAAACCAACTGGACAAAATTCCAGAACTAGACGAAAGAAATTTCTGGGAGAAGTTAAATTGAACTTCCTGGAGAAGACGGAAGAAACTTCCTAAGGTAGATTGGAGAAAAAAATTCTGGAGGAAGTCGGAAGCCAGAGCGCTAACGGAACAGTCGAAAGAAACAAGGACATAATTCCGGAAGAAAGAGCTTTTGGGGGATGTTCTAATGATCCAGAAAATTTTCCAAATGGTCATAAAACATCCCTGAAGACCCCGCAATGCCCCTGAAGGTTTTGAAACATTCCTGAAATGTACTTAGAAATATTCCATATTTCCTCGGGCTGTTATGGAGTACTCTGATCATCTTTGAAATACTTGGAACTTCCCTGATTATAATGAGACTACCGGAATATCTCTAATAAACTTATCAACACTGCAAGCACGGAACTTCCCATAAAATGTTCTCACAATGTGCTAATGTTCATGTAACTTCCCTTACGTTTCTTAAATTTGCATGAGCCCCTCGGAACATTGCTGAAGCTTTCGGAAATTGCCTGAGTTTCTCGGAACTCCTTTAAAATTTCAGCGATGTTCTCGGAGCTTCCTTAAGTTCTCTCAATTGTCCTGAAACTTATGGAACTGTCCTTAAAACCATTAAATTTTCCAGGAGTTCTTTGGACTTGTGAAGCATCCAAAATATTTATGATGTATCCTTAAGTTCACTGGAGTTCGCTGGACCGGGTTTCAGAATTTTAACAGAAGTTATTGAAACATTCTTCAATTTATCGAAACTTACTCAAAAGTATGGACTTTTCTGAAGTTTCAGAACTTCTTAAAAGTTCCTGCAGCTAGTGTGGATCCGCAAAATCTGGAAGTATCCCTGCAGTTCCAGAAAAGTTGAAAAAACTGGCGGGAAAAGATGGAAGACTCATTCGAGCGAAGGCTGAAGAAGCTTCCAAGGGAAGTCAAATAAGTTTCCGAGATGAATCGTAAAATAATTTACGATGTAAGGTGGGATAGTTCAGGAAGTTAAATAATGTTTAAAAAGTATGTCCCTATTCCCCCGGAATTAGCAGAAAGAGCCATCGACTGTTTATCGATTCATGGGCAACCAAAAACGGTGAGGAAATTGAAACATTCATCGAAAGAGTATCCATAAGATATTTTTAGAGATGATTTTTTTTTTAATTTTAAAGTCTCAAAAAAATTGAGATGTTCAAAAAGATACAAGTCTCTCACAATAATTTTCTCTGAAATTCAAGTGCGGGCAGGCAATATTCTTTTTGATTATTTAATAAAATCGGTAAAAAATC